TGACAATCTTGTAAGCAATCCTGCTGAACCTTCAACTGTAAACGTCGATGGTAACATTCCACGAAGGTCATCTATTGACATCTTTGAGTCACTGAATTTAAATATTTTCTTAAAGCAATCGTCATTATCTAACCATGCAATAGCTTTGAAGTTTTCATTCGAATATACATCTGCTTCATTAAATGTAAAACCTGACTTCTTTGCAGAGACGACTTTAAAATCTATTGAGTTTGTTTCAAAATTATATGCTATGCTAACTTCTGAAGGTAATGGATGTCCTTCCGCAGTCAGTTGTTCTCTCACTACCGTTTGAAGCTTTGTGTTAAAAACTTTCATGTCATCTCCTGTGTCTAGGTTCACATACACAGCAACAGGAAAACTATCTTGCTTCTTTGTTTCATCATTATACCTCAAAACATTAAAGTTCTTCAATAATATTGTTCTTCCTGCTGGAATACTTCGAACCTGTCTGATTTCAATAGCTTTCTCACCTCCTACATACTCTACCCAGTGCCTTGGATATTCATAAGTATACTGACTTTCTTGAATTTTGGTTGGTTTCATCATAACGTGTTCATAGTATATCTTTATACTCTTGTCAGTTAGACTCGGTGCTATGTTCTGAATATTTCTGACTTGCATTTTTAATGGAGATAAAATGAAGCATTTAATACATGACGTAGATGAAGACATGAATGAAACTACAGACAAACTTAACTCTTCTCTCATTCTTCCTTTCAGTAAGGACTATGAGTTCTGTTCAAATGGCGTTTATTTCTATTGTGGAAAGATGGGTTCAGGTAAGACATTTAATCTTATTCGTCATATACTCATAACAGAGCGTTTAGGAAATGACTCATATTATGACCAAATCATTATATCAGCAACTTCAGACTCTATGGACTCAACAGCGAAAACATTTATGTCAAAAGTTCAAGCCTCTGTCGTTAAAGTTCCAGACAGTGAACTCATTGAATTTCTTCAACGTTACATTCGACGTAAGAGGAAATATTATGCCATCGTTGAATTTATACAGTCAGGAATGCAAAAGACTTCTGAGGAGATGGAAAGAATTATTGACAAACACCACTTACGTCAGTACTCAGGAGTTTACGATATGAAACGACTGACAAACTACATTCTATCAAAACTTTCAAAATACCCCTTCAAAAAATATCCTTCAAACACTCTGCTCGTTTGCGACGACTTCGCTGGTAAAGGTTTAGTGTCAAAACCAGACTCACCATTAGCTAATATCATTACTAAAGTCAGACATTACCACTTAACTGTAGCAATACTTATGCAAACATGGAGGTTTTTAGCTTTAAACATAAAACGTCTCATAACTGACTTCGTTATCTTTCAAGGTTTCTCACGTTATGATATTGAACTCATTTGGAAACAGTCAGGTATAACATTACCTTTTGAAGAAATTTGGGAAGCATATAAGTCTCTCATCTCTCCTCGTTCATACCTTGAGATTCATATCATGACTAATACCATTAAAGTCAAAAATATTCCATGGGAACGACCAACATTGTTTTAAAGTTTAACCTTCAATTGACTGATGGTAAACAAATTCCATGCATCTCTGTCGCCATTTCTGTTAATATTTTTGCTGTCATTCATATCATCCACTTCTCCATCCGTTAGCTTTTGAGGATATGCGTTAGAATAGCTGTTCTTAAATGAAGGCTTTTCACCTTTGAGAGCATAAACTCTATAACTTTCTGCATACTTTATGTTTGAACCTCCTGAGCCATCATTGACATAAATTTTTATAGGCTTCCACCCTTTGTTCATGTTCCTGCTTCTTCCCTTAGCTCTTTTGTTCAGTAGTTCTACATCTTTATACACAGCTCCTGTCTCAGTGAATTCAACAATATTTTCATTCGTTAGCTTTACATTCAAACCCTTGTCGAGTATATTGTTCATTTCATACATATAAAAGGTTTTTATTCTATATGAAATGAGAAGCAAATCCATCTTAGCTGGTGCCGTTAATGTTCCAATTGAACCAACATCAAATGTTGACTCACGAACGACAAACAATATTGTCATAAAGAACTATAGTTCAGAGTGTTTGAAAGAAAAAGAACCAGAACTGAAATCCGTGAATTTAAACTCAGCTTCAAACGCTAACGCTACATCAGATGTTAAGTTAGAGTATCCACCACTGGACCAAATTCTTTCAAGAGAAGCCAACGACAACCCTTACACAAATGTTCAAACAAATCCTTCAGATAACGTAGACCATTACCTTCTTCAGTTATACCAAACAATTTTACTCAAAGACGATAAGAAGCTTTTGACAAATCTTATAAGTAAGAACCAAATAATTCTAACAAAGGAGGACCTTGAAAATGTTATATCACCGAATAACAGGGAAACAATGTGTCATTGACTATCTCGACCCTGAAATCGAATGCTGTGGTCAAACGCCACCATTCATGAAAATAGGTAACATCCGCATCATTGAAACACCAGGAACTACAGGAGTTGAGTTTAAGTATAAATATTCGAATGAATATACAAAACTTTCAACAGAATATAAACTTTGTTGAAATATGTTTTAGTAAATTAAAGCAATTTGTAATATCTATCCAAAACTTCTTCAACAGTATCGAACTCATCTTCATAATGCAAACCTAATCTTATTGACTTGGTGCAGTTTTCACTAACACAATATAGCGCTTTGCGCTCGGCGCCTTTGACGCCTTTTTCTGTTCTCTTGACTGACATAACTAATTCATTTGTTTCATCAAACAGCAACAACCAAAGTTCATGACCTAATACATAACATTCATACTTTATATTTTTAGCTCTGAGTTCTCTTGTAAGCTGTTGCATTTAATATTTTCTAAAAAGTCAACTTCAACAGTCATTCGCACTGGTGCCTTCAGTTCTACAGGCTCGCCTTGAAAGTCAACAAGTCTGAATTGCATGTCTTTCAAATTATGAGGACTAATGCGAACCCATTTACCTAAATGAGTTGCTATGACAGGAACGTTTGGAATGAACATTGAATTTACTGCATAACAGAAAGACTTATATTCTACTGAACCTTTACTATTAACTCCTGAAATGCCTGTGACATTAGCTATTTTAGACTCAATGTACAAACAATTACCATAACATACGTATGGAACAGATTTCATCTCAATCGTTTTGTCAACACTTTTCAAAGGAAATGTCATATGGTATGCACCCAGAAGCAATTGAACTCTATGACTCATTCGTGTTATCTTAAACTCCTTTGCATAACTGAACTTCAAAACTCCTGCAATAAGTTTAACATTCATTAAGTTTTCTTCGTTCTCCTTGTTTATTGTAGTATTTATGAGCGCATTTAACACTCCAGCTAATGTTTCCATCTTATATTCTACATTATTGTGAAATCTTATTTCATGCTTCTTTCCATCTATTTCAAACTCCATGAAATCTGTTTCATCTGTTATGACAAAAGTTGCGATAGTATTGAAGTCAACAACTCTGAAAGCAAGTGCTTCATTCTGAAGACCTAAGTTTGTTTGTAGCTTTACTGTCCGTATTCGTTTGGGTCTGTACTTTGCAAATAGAACAACATTTTATTCTCATTAAAATATGACTATTGCTGCATATGCGTATGAAACAAATGAAGCAAGAAGAGCACATGAACTAGTAAACGAAAACTCAACTTTAACCATTGAAGGCAATGATTTAGTCATTGACGATGGAAAAACTAAAAAAGTCATTGATTTCGATACTTTTAACACTTATGACCCATTCATTACAACAAGCAAAGTTCCTATCATAAATGATGGAACGGTGCAATATATAAATTCTACAGTAGATGCCTCATTAGTGAAAGTATGAATGTTCTCATTGAATTGTTAAAGAGCTTTCGATTTGACGACAACATTAAATGCCTAAAGAATTTAGTCATGAATGAGAAACAAATTCTTGGCGTTGCTGGTAGCAGTAATGATGTACACCTTATGACATTAGAATATTATAACGAACATAAAGATGAACTGAAAGGAGAGAAGGGTGACACCGGACCTCAAGGACCACAAGGAATACAAGGAATACAAGGAATACAAGGACCTCAAGGCGAAAACGGTTTGGATGGAAAGGATGGAAAGGATGGAAAAACTGCTAAATCATGGATATGGGACCTTATAAATACTGGTTTAACAGCTGCTTCATATGGAGTTCTTCAATACCAAATCGGAAAGATATGGGCAGTACTTGGTGAAGAAGTTTTAAATGACGTTAAAAATGCTTTGAACTTCATTTCAAATGGTTCGGATACTATTAAAACTTTATCTGGTTGGATGCAAGAAACAAGGAGTCAAATAGATACTGTAAGACGTATAGCAAACAATGCACGTACGGGATTGGATACTTTACGACAAGCACAAAATACACTAAAGGAAGCAAATGATATTCTTGGCTCAGTATCAGACATGCATGAAGATTGGCTTAAAGGTATTGACAAATCTTTAAAAAATCACAGTCAGTCTATTGCTGACTACAAGAAAAGTATAGATTTTTTACATAGTGCTATGGACGTACATGATGGAAGCATAAGGAACTTACTTAATGCTAACAATAACTTACCAGGAACTATTAAAGCATTTATAAAGTCCTTTGTAAAACCCGGTGCTCTAACATTTAGGTCTTTGAGAGCAAGAGCATTGAAGTCAAGAGATGCAGAAACTCCAACAGAACCTACAGAAGGAACTGAAACAACAGAAACTCCAGAAGAACCACCAAAACCAACAGCTAATGAAATATTGTTCGAATATTTTCCAAGGTACTCTGTTCTCATTGCATACATTCAAGAAATACTTAAGAAAGCAGACTTGACTTTAGGAGATGATGAAAGTTCTGTATATCTTTCGTTCCAGTTTCAAATAGCAGAACTTTTGAGACAGATATGCTTAATGTATGACAACATCTCTGATTTCACAAGATATGATGACGACCATGACCCCGAACACGGTGAAGAAGAAGTTTTACAAACATCCATTAAGACAGGAAAGGTTTTAACACAAAGTCTCATTATTGACACCAAAGATGGCGAAGTGGACGTTCTTCAAGAGCTGAAGAAAAATACTTCTTCGGGAGGTGGTGGTAGGCATGAACTTGAAATAAATGAGATAGAAGAGAAATTAGCCGAAAAAGCAGATAAAGAACATAAACACAATATCTCCGATATAAATGAACTTCAAGCTACATTAAATAGTAAAGCAGATAAAAATGAACTTGACGCAATGAACAAAGTTTTGAAATCTCATAAACACAACATCTCCGATATAAATGAACTTCAAGCTACATTAAATAGTAAAGCGGACAAGAACCATGTTCATTATATAACTTCAGACGAACAGATTATAACGGACTACCATGGATATTTAACACGAAGTGATGAAGCGAAGACAAAAAATGTTAATGAAAGAAGATATAAATACATTCGTGCTAAAGGTTATGACATAAGCTGTACTGTACAGTATGATGTAGCTAAAGCACCAGAAGCATTTGGTTATACCGGTGAAATTTATGCCTCTACTTTCAATGTTAACGGTGTATTAGTTGAACCAAGATTTATGTTGAGAGTTAAGTCAAAAATAACTTTTGAAGATGCTATTAAAAGTAAAGCTGACAAAACAGAACTCGAAGCAATGAACAAAGTTTTGAAATCTCATAAACACAACATCTCCGATATAAATGAACTTCAAACTTCTTTAGACAAGAAAGCAGACAAGAACCATACACATAAATCCTTCACTACTGTTAGAGCAGACGACATAATATTGAACTTTGACCTTGGTTCAAGTGCACCATTAGAAAATCCAAGTACAAGCGTAAAAGATACTCTTAACAATTTAGATAAGAGTTGCAGGAATACCGAAGATCATGCCAGAAACTTTGAAGCATATGAACTACCAGCAATGTTAGATAAGAAAGCTGATAAAACTTATGTGGATGCAGAACTAACAAAGAAATTTTCGAAACCAGATACAATGACATTTACAACAGAAATTATAAATGGTGAACCAGCAACTCCATTTGAATTTGTTAGAGGTCTTCAACCAGATACTTTTGAATTTTTCTTGGATAATTCTATTGAACTAACATTACATTATAAAAGTGGAACAAATGCAACATTTCATCCGGGAGATACATTCCAAATGGTATTTAATGACATAAGTTCTTTAGAATATGTTTATAGAGTTATGAGCATATATGATTTAATATATCCTATAGGAGCTGTTTATACGTCTATGAATCCAATAAATCCAAACACTTTATTTGGTGGTAGATGGTATGAAATAGTTGACAGTTTTCCATTCTACACTAATACGCAGTCAATGAAGATGGGAGGTTCAAAGAAAATAGGTATTGAAAACCTTCCTTCACATATGCATAGGTTCAGTGGAAGAACATCTGTGGAAGGAAACCATTCACATTCAATAAAAAAAGAGGTTATACAAATCTTGCAGCGGGTTCGGATAGACAGGGAATGAACAGATATGATATCTCAGATGACCCCAAAGATGTTAGCACAGGTATTTTCTGTGGAACTGCAGGAAATCATACACATGTTGTAGTGGTATTACAGACCCAGCAGGTAATGGAAAAGATTATATGCCTCCTTATATAACAATGCACGCTTGGATACGAGTTGGTTAAAATCTTTAACTTTACATAAATGAGCTTGAAAGAAGTATTCGAACAACATCCATGGAGGTCATTTAAGAAGTTCAATGAAGCTGCAAAGAGTTGGGGATTTACTAACAGAGCTGAAGTGAAAAGGTTCTTTGACAAAAATGTTGTACATCAAACAAAAATAAACCCTTACGACTACTTTTTACCAATTTACTCCAACACTCCTGACGCATACCAATTTGACACTCTCATTCAAAGCAGAAAAGGAGGACATAAACCATTCCTCATCTTCATAAATGTTAACACTCGTAAAGCATATGCATATCCAATGAAAAATAAAGGAACTCATGAAGTGTTAAGAGTTTTACAAAAGTTTGTAGCAGAACATAGCCCAAGTATTTTAACATCAGACCAAGACGGTGCATACCTCAGCAACGAAATCACAGAATTTCTCATTAAGCATAACATAACTCACTACACTACTGAAGACCATAACCATAACATACTCGGCATCATAAACCGCTTCATAAGAACGCTCAGAGATTTAAATCAAGAGCGAGACTTTACCGAAGAAACAATGAAACATTTCATCGAAGTTTACAATTCCTCAACACATTCTACAACAGGACATACACCAAATTCAATGACACAACAACAAGAAGAAAAGTATATACAAAAGAAACGAAGCCAAACACAAAATATCAGAAATTCAACACAATTTACCCTCATTCCTGGTACAAAAGTTCGTGTAGTTCTTGACGACAAACCGTTGACAAAGAAACGTTTAAGGTTAAGTCGAAATTATTATATTGTAGACTCTACGCAAGGTAATGGATATCTTATAAAAGCTGCTGACGACTCCATAGCATTTTACCCTCGTCATAAATTAGTCGAAAGTAGTAATGGCAAACTTGCTGAAACCATTGACGAAGCAAAGCGAGGAGTGGTTATTGAAATACTTGACTACAACATAAACGATGACACTTATAAAGTAAGATATGAAGGAGGCGTTGAAGATGTTATACCATCTAAGAACTTGAGAGAATCTAAACCAACTCATCTGGGACCATTAGAGCGGGAGTACTGGAAAGATAAAAACATGCCAGAAAGAATAAGAAAATTCTTCTAAACTTTTTCATTAGATGTAAATCAGACATGAATGAGAACAGTCATGTATTATTAATGGTACCATTTATTTTTGTCATAAATTTACACCAAAAATATATTATAGGTGAAGAGGTGAGATGTCACCTGTTTTTTCACCTGTTTTTTCACCTCTTGAATTTTCATGAATTTTCACAAAAGACCAAAAATATATTATAGGTGAAGAGGTGAGATGTCACCTGTTTTTTCACCTGTTTTTTCACCTCTTGAATTTTCATGAATTTTCACAAAAGACCAAAAATAAGCTAATTTTATTTTTTTTATTTTTTTATTTTGTATGTAAGATATGATTTCAACAATCGGCAACAACAACAATTCAAGCCGCGAACGGCGGGACTCTGTCCACAACAACAGCACCAAACTCGTTAGTCATGAATCCTACGTCAATGTTAGTAGAGATGAAAAACTTCATTCCTTCTTCATATACTTTCGAAACAAAAATCCAGAAGATAAAGCAAGAACTTTTAACAAGTAATTTAGACTGTAGTGCGAAAGATGAAGAAAATGAAGAATATCTTTATGAAATGCAGGACATTATTGACCATTTACCCAAATTGCCTGAAATCCAACAACAAAAACTCACTATTCCTGAATTCGACGAAATTGAAGTGAAACCAACTGACTCAGTAGAAATAAAGAAGTTCATACGTAAAGTAAATTATGAATTCCTTGGTTTTCATTGCAACCATAAGGTTATGGACAAAGATTGCGACATGGTATATAAAAACATTTCTGACATATATAAATCTGAGGAGTTTAAGACTTACGATAACTTTGTTTCATTAGTTGCAAAATGTGTTTGGGAAATAAGAGATAAAGATAGAAGAGGCAAAGTATGGAACGAACAAATAAGACCCGCTATGTTTGAGATGAAGAGAGCAATTGACGCCTTAGTTGTTTTAGCTGGTTTTATTTCAATGTATAACGCAAAAATGAACCCGCAATGTTCAAAATGTAAGGCAGCAATTAGGAAATATAACTACTCAGTCAAAGAGATAGAAAGAATGAGAAACGACTATGCAGACTTAAAGAAAGAAGTAGAGAAACCAGCAGAAGATAAAATGGACATGTTAGCATTTCTGAACAAAAACTATCCAACAGTAGAAGATTTCCTTCTATCTGACGTCAAGAAGAAATATAAAGAGACTTTCGGCATTGTTAAAACTTTTGACATACTGACAGAAGAAATAGAAGCTACGAAATTGTTTAGGATTTCAAATATACATCGTACAATTCATGTAAAACGCTTGTGAAAAACTGGGGTGAAAAAAGAGGTGAAAAAAGAGGTGAGATCTCACCTCTTCACCTAAACATTATTTTTGCTTTAATTAAATGCTTTCCGGAAACGTCGATGAAAATCATATGGACAAATTATATGAAAAAATTAATAATGATTACCCCTCATTAACCAGGGAAATGACGGATTCTATAGTTCGTAAATTCGATGAAATACAGGATATGTGGTTCGACAGATTCGACATGAACGATAAGGAAAAGAGAAAGAACGATAACAATTTACTTACTAAAAGAATCCTAAAATCTAAAATAGGTGAAGCTTCAACATTTAACACAGTACATAACTTTTACACCGCTGTTTATATTTTCAATAATTTATTTAACGATGAACGAGAAAGAAAAAGTATGTTTAACGGAAGAAATGAATATGATTTTATCCTTTGTGCTGTTCGGGATGTTGACATGAAACTAAAGAAAATATTCTTATTACAAGATGACACGGTTGAAGATGAAGTCAATGAGTTTTTAAATCGTGATTTAAATGAAATTGATGAAGTTATGACCGAATGTTATAAAAAGTTCAAGAGGTGAAAAAACAGGTGAAAAAACAGGTGAGATCTCACCTCTTCACCTAAATTATATTTTAGGTCAAAGCTTCCACGAGAGAAAAGATTCCTCATTCGCTAAGGATTCCAAAAATGAAAAAATCATTGATTTCGGCTGAGAAAAAACAGCAAAACCCTTCTTCCACGGGAACAAAGAAATAAAGAAGAAATAAAGTAAATTTTTTATTTATTCCCGTGGAAGATAGAGCACTTTTATGACACTTTTTATTCACGACAAACAAGACAAACAAAGAAAATAAGAAAATACGGCGCTGTCGCGGTTCGAACCACAGACTCTGACCCCTCCATAACACCACCTTAGACCACTGTGCTACGTAGCCTGTCGACATAAGATTTTATAAATTGCATATTTGACGTAAATTTATTTCCATCTGGCTTCCCACTGCATAAGATATTCATACGTGTTTGTAAGACATTCATTAAACTTCTTTTCTATTGCATCTAATCTTGCGTTATTTTTTTCAATAACTTGTCTGTATTCTTCATCATCTCCAGCAGTGTTTGGGTCTTCACGTTTAAAATATTCATTGTTAACCAATTTTTTATCTACAAATTTTATTAGTGTTTGATTCACTTCGTTATGATAACGGTCATATTCTTTCAATACGTAAGTGAAGACAAAATGCGTCGTACCTTCAATCTTAAAGCTTAAAGAACTTTCAACACAGTTTTGAGGGTCTGTCAGTGCGTCAATGAGATAGTATTCGAAGTCAGTCAATAATCTTTTTAAAGTCATTTCATACAGGATAAAATTTAATGTTGTGAAGAAATAGTGTTTATCTCAGAAAAAATAACGCTAATTTTATTTTTATTTATTTTTTTATTTTGTATGTAAAGACAGATATGTCAACATTAGAGAACACAACAACTGCTATCGTTCATGAAGTCATAAATGAAGAATACGAGTACATACAATATAACAAACAGTTACGTCTCATTCGTTCAGTCAAAGATGACATGTACCAAATGCAAAGTATTTTGACGGCTTGTTTTGCTCCAGATACTAAGCTTCCTAAAGACTGGTTTAGGAACCAAAGCACCATAGAACTATTAAGTGAAGCACAGCGAGACGTACTTTTTTCTGAAAACAGTGAAGAACAGCGAGTAGGTAAAAAATCCCAGTCGCCAAAACTCTATGAAAATCGTGAAAAATTGCCAAACGGTTTGAGAGGATATTATGTTCATAGACTTTTAGTAAATGCTGTAGCAATGTGGGCTTCACCTCGTTATGCTTGTTATATTTTCATGATGTTAGATGAACTATATAAAGCAGAACGTGGAGAGATGGAAAAGAAACTTCAAGCAAAAGATGAAGTCATTGAATCCAAAGACAAAAGCATACAGAAAAGAATACCACGTTCAGTACCAAAAGGAAAGGAAAAGAGTTATAAGTATATGATATATACTGAAGAGTTGGAGAAAGAAGAAGATAAAGATATGGTTATGTTGCATTTAGTCAGAAGAAACAACAAGAGCTTTTATGACCTTGCTAAGATTTACAAATCTGACAGAAACTGGTTCTATCGTGAAAACTTACCGATTTCAATGACACCGAATGAGCAAATAAAAGAAATTGTCAAAAATACTCTTCCTCAAACACACTATGACATCAAAGGTTGCACAATACTTACATTCAAAGAAGACTTACCATTACTGAAAGAAAAGATAATAGAATATTTCGACAACTTCAAAGAGGAAGAATGAAGTCACGACAACATTAACGAAGAAGTCACGACAACATTAACGAAGAGAGAATGAGGTGAAAAAACAGGTGAAATCTCACCTCTTCACCAAAAATATATTTTTGGTTAAATAGCTTCAGGGTCAATTTCTTCAACCATTTCACTTCCTTCGTCAATGTCAATAGAAGCTTCTTCAACCTTTGGTAAGAATTTCTGTATGACATCTTTGTTCGTTATTGTCTTCAGAGATGAAGGATAATATTTCACATTTATTTCACCCTTCTTATATTCTTTCTGTTCGGAAAGATTTAAAGCAATACTGAAGAAGTCAACGTTAGAGTTCTTTATGACAGTATAATGAGTATCTTTGACATTCACGAAGAAACTCTTTTGTTTCAAAACTACTGCTAACTCTTGTGAAGTATAACGTTTGCGGTCAATGACGATAGCTAATGGTCTGACATACTGACCAAACTTAGATTCTTTTCACAAACTTCTTGTTAAAGATAATATTAACATTTGAAGCATTATTGAACTCATTCTTGATGGCAGTAGCGAGAGCATTGTATGAAAAGAACTTGCAATCTTGCATGTGTTTCATTAAAATAAAAATATTAAATTATTTTGAAAAATAACTTAAAAAAAATCTAATCTAATTTTTTCAAAAATATTTTTTTTATTTCCTACTAAAGATGTATCGAAGTTGTCTAAGTTGAACACTCGGAAATAAAACAACTTCTTACAGAAGCTAATATAGATGTTGCAAAGCATTACGCAACAAACAAAAAGCACTCGCTGACTTCATTAAAGACTATAATGGTGCAATAAGTTATGATAGAATTCATGAGTTCATAAAGCCCGCAACGCGCGAGGACGAAGTCCATGCAATAGCATTTCCTTTAAATGACGTTGCTATTGACTTATATCATAGACGTTCAGTACCTCATGAAGTAAGAAGAGAGATGTTTGACATAACAAATGCGAACGCTGGTCATACTCGTAAAGCTCTTTCGCATGAAGTAAGAAGAGAAATGTTTGACATAACAAATGCGAACGTTGGTCATACTCGTAAAGCTCTTTCGCATGATGTTCGTCAAGAGATGTTTGACATAACAAATGCGAACGTTGGTGAAACAAGAAGAAGAGACGACACAGTGAAACAACAGAGAAGAGAGATGTTTAAGAGCGCTATAGAACAAGTTCGCAAAGCTAACGATGTCATTCGTTCCATTGACGACAAACCAAAAGAGGGTGAGAGATGGTTAAAGAAAGATGAAGAGAATAGGAAGAGAAATGTGAAGTCAGGCAATAGACTCATTGACTTTAACATCGAAGCTTTAGATGAACCAAACAGAGACTACTTACACAAACATTTCGGTAAGGTTTTCATGAGACTCTTAGAGAAAATTAAAATAAACTCGCAACAAAGATGGATGGTATGTTATAAACTTGGTGGAAAGTATGAATGTTCTACGTTAAACCTCAATAATATTGGAACATTACTACATCAGCTCTTGAAGGAGAACTTTATATCAGAGATAGAAGCAAATGCCGCAGGTATTGTTGAAATGCACTATGACTTCTTCTTGACAAACATAAAGAATCTTACCGAAATAAAGATGTATGATTTAACAGAATATGAAGGCTTAACGATGTCAGATGTAAAGAAAGGCAAACCAAAAAAGAGACCATATAGAGATGAAAGCACACTGACAGAAAGACAGAAAAGATTATTGAACAGACTTAAACAAACAGGAGATAAACAAGATATAGATGACTTCTGGAATGAAATCCTTGGTGAAAAGAAGTTTTATAAGAAGAGAAGCGGTCAGTTCTGGAAGTATCTTTGCACATTACCTATAAATCTTGAACGCTACCAAATCTTCAATGAACTGAACAAAAGAACTGCAACACTTATGACAGAGGACAATTGTTTCGTTTATGCTTGCATTCAGGCTGGAGTAAATGAAGAAACTATTGACCACATGAGAGAAGTCATTCGTGTTAGAGACTTTCCTCAAAGTAAAGTACAAGAAATTTCTGACGCAACAGGTATATCATTTAATGTTACCATTGGTTATTTCAATGACTCAAGACATAATGAAATAAAGAGATATATACCAAAAGAATGCGAAACTGTTAGAACTATTGACTTACTTCTTGTTGAAGACCACTACATGCTAAATGAAAGATTACCAATGACAACATACTTCATTCGAAACTATAAAGAAATTCTCAAAGCTTGTGGTGGAATGAACATTGAGAAACAGATGAAGATTTATACAAAGAGAGAAGATAAATATGTAGTTCGTTATGATAGAACAACACCGTTATGGGATGTTATGAAAACATTGTGGGAGTGCAAATATTTCGAACCTATTTCTTATGGAGAACTTTTCACATATACTACTGACTTATATAAACAGAACCTTGCACCATTTAAAGATTTGACATATGCTCCAAAGTATTGTGTACAACTGAAGAAGAAAGCAGAGTCAAAAGAAGTAAATAAAGCTAAATGTAAATTCATACCTGAGCACGTTTTCTTTGCTGACTTTGAGTGTAGTACGGATGGCTTTCATAAAGCTTTTAACATCTGTTATGACAGTGAAGATGGTTCAGTTAGTGAAAGCATTTGGGGTCAAAACTGTGCAACAGAATTTTTGGAAAGACTTCCTGACAAGAGTTTAATATATTTTCACAACCTCAGTTATGACATAAACTTCATCTTAAGACACATGACAGAAGTGAAAGGAACTCCCATCATTAAAGGTTCACGAACAATGCAAATAACTGGCTTATATAAAGGACGGGCAATTATTATAAAAGACTCTTACAGTGTTATAAATAAGAAGCTTAAACTATTTCCTGCTATGTTTAACTTACAAACAGGACCGAAAGAAGTATTTCCATATAACTACTACAGCAGTGTTTTGTTAGCAAATGACAACAGAACTGGTGTCATTTCTGAAGCATGTAAGTTTATCCATGATGCAGATACATTTATGAAGAACATAGATTCCATCAAAGGTTGCAGAATAGATGAAAACCACTTCGACTTAGAAAAATATAGCACGTTTTATGCAAACAAGATGTAAGAATTTTAAGAGAAGGTTTTGTAAAGTTCCGCAATGACTTATTGAAAGAGTTTGATTTAAACGTTTATGACTACGTTAGTATTTGTTCTATTGCTAACAAATTGTTTGAGAACAGAGTATACTTCCCGAATGGAAATCTTTATGACCTCTCAAATAAACCAAGAGAATTTATTTCGAGATGCATTCAAGGTGGAAGATGTATGTTGTCAGATAACATGAAACAAAAGAGCAAAAAGAAACTCATTGCTGACTTCGACACTGTTTCATTATATCCTTCAGCTATAGCAAGATTGTATACTTTAGAAGGAATTCCAAAAGTATTGAAGGATGAGATGCTAAGCACAGAGTATCTCATGAGACATTTATTCGATGACGACCAAAAGGAACCCATTGGTGAAAAGTTTATGTCTGGCTTCTTTGTTCTCATTAAGATAACAGAGATTGGTATACCCAGACACTTTCATTTAATAGTTTGCGACCCTGAACTAAATCCAGAACTTAACGTTCCAAGAAGTTCAAACACTTGCTGTCTCATGCATGTTGACCATATAACATTACAAGACCTCATAAAATATCAAGGTGTCAAATGTGAAGTGTTGCAAGGATACTATTACGATGGAAACAGAGATATGAGAATAAGAGATGAAGTAAAGAAGTTGTTTGAGTTAAGGTTAAAGTATAAGAAAGAAGGAAACCCCTTACAAGAAATTATAAAACTCATTCTGAACAGCATTTATGGCAAAACTATTCTATCTCCTATTGAGTCAAAAATAACCATAGTAAATGACAAAGATGCTATAAGATATGCTATAAGAAATTACAACCATATAGTGAAGTTCGAAGGTTTGGATGGTTCAGATAAAACTATTTTCAAGCTAACGAAAAGCATTTGCAGACACTTTAACTTCTGTCCACTTGGTGTTAATATTCTGTCTATGTCAAAACGTATTATGAATGAAGTATTCTGTACTGCAGAGGACATGGGACTTCAAATCTTTTACCAGGATACCGACAGTATGCACTTATATAATGAAGACATCCCAAAGCTTGCAGCAGAGTTTAAAAAGAGATATGGTCGCGAACTTATAGGAAAGAACCTTGGTCAATTTCATAGCGACTTTGCAGAAATAACACCTGGAAAACAAAGTTTAGCTTATAAAAGTATTTTCTGTGGAAAGAAGACCTACATAGACTTACTCACTAACGATTTAAATGAAGTTGCATTTCACTGCAGAATGAAAGGCGTGAAGCAAGATGTTATTGCTTTAACCGCTAATGAAATGTTTCCTGAAGCTATACAATGCTATTACAATGAAGATAAGAACATTCACATACCTGTTGGAACATATGACAAAGACTCTGAGTTCAGTTTAATGAAACTTTACAAAGCACTTCATGATGGTCAAGAGATTGCATTCGACTTATGTAAGTCATGTCAACCTTGCTTTGCTGAAAAGTTCAACTTTTCAATAACGACTAAAACAAGCTTTATTCGTAAGTTGAAGTTCTGAGGTCATTTATTTTTGTCAGCAATGAGGTCATGAATGAGGTCATGAATGAGGTCATTCGTGATAAAAATAAAGCTAGCGTAGATTTTACAATACTGCGATGGTAGAGTTTAAGAGTTGTGCTTCAATGTAGAGACAGTCCTTATGGTCTGGAGGTAAGAACACTGGACATTTATGGTCATGAGTGGAGAACATGTCTATCCAAAACTCACGATTGAAGCCAGTTAATTTATAGTATTTAGGGTTAGGAAGTGGTGAAGTTCTTGTATGACCAATGAACTCATTTTCAACTCCTTTACTTAAGTTTGAATATAATATAGCTTGCTTTCTATCCCAAATGCCAGGTGTTACAATCTTTGAAAATTCATTTTTCCTCGGAAGCATTGCATCATAATTGAAAACATTCTTAAAATCATCACTTGGTTCAGAGATTTGAAACCTTATACGTAATGGATTTTTTTTCTCTTTAGCGACTTCATTGAATGGTGAGAATACAATGAATTGACAGTCATGAGTTCCATCTTCATTTTCATTAAATTCATAATGAAAGTCTATAAGTTGTGGCTGACTACCTTCTTCTTTCAGTTGTGCAAGAAACTCACGTAAAGGCTGTAAAGTTTGTACTTCAATGTTGAACTTTTTCTCGAACATCTCATTAAATGAAATCATACATTGCAACAATGTTGTATCGTCTTTAAAGTATTTGTATATGTGAATGTTTTGGGCGCTTAAAGACTGTTCGTCATTTTCTATCTCGACTTGAAGTATAAAGTCAACCTTTCTGAAAGCACGTGTTATATACATAGATGTTATGCCAATGTACTTCTCTTCATTTATGTTCACAATCCAGTCTGTTGGAAACTTAAACGTTACTCTGTTCCCCTTTATTTTGACGTCAGGGTTTTCACTACTGAACGCAACAGATAAAGGTATTTGTCTATACATTTAGTTCGGATAAAAATAAACCATTTACTCTTTCTTTGCTTCAGCTTCTTTAGCTTTTGCTTCAGCTTCTTCTCTAGCTTTCTTTGCCAGCAAACGTGGGTTCTTTTGTCTTCCAGCAGCTAATGCAGCAAGTTGTTTTTCACTAAGTTTTCTCTTTGGTCTCTCTGGCTTTTGTTCTTGTTTTTGTTCCTTCAGTTCGGATAAAATTTGCTCACGAATTTCTTTCTTCAATGCTTCAACATCTATGACCCCTTGGGTCTTGTCCGTAGGGCTTGTCTGAGTCATTTGACTGTAGATAAAAAACTAAATTAAAACTTTAACCGATGTAAAATGAGCTTGTCAAAATCAGAACGAGAGTCTATTATATTAAATGACGCCAGAGGAATACAACATCCTTTCTATTATGTAAGTCAGAGTAAAGATGGTAAAATATATGTAAGAAAAAGAAAGGTTCCATTAGCGAATGCAGAGAGCGACAACATTAAGGTGCATGGCAAGGGCGAAGCCCACGAAGCCCATATAAAACCTTCTGTTCAAACTGAAAAGTCAATAGAACAAGAAGAAAAGAAGCCAGATGTTCTTTCAATAACGAACCAAGAGCTTATTGCAAAGTTCGTGAATTTCATTGAAAAGCAAACCGAGTCAAAGAACCCTGACCGCCAGTGAAAGAAGTTGAGACAAAAGAGAATGTACAGTTCATTGAAAATGTCAAGAAACAACTTCCACCACGAATGCCAAGAAGAAGAGTGAGAATAATGAAGTAAATAGATATTTTTATCTGAAGTAAATACATGCAGAACGAACAGCTAAACGAATTTACTCCAGCAGAGCATATTCATCAGATTCGCTCATATTTCGATATCATAGACAATGCAGTTCAAATTGGTGACACTAATAGAAAATATTCTGACGCAAAGATTCCATCACAACCTGGAACTGCTAAAGATAACACATGGGTAACATTCAATCTCTCACCTCCTGGTGAAAATATGTTGGACCTTTACAATACATTCATTACGTATAAAATGGAAGGTCAATTTATTGTAGATAAAGAAATTGGTTCAGGTTCCAATAAAACAAACCCACCAGGATTTTGGATTGGTTTCGATGACGCTTTCTATGCAGTTGCTGGATATCAAATCCTTGCAAATGGTCGTATCGTATATTCTCAAGACAACGCAAGAGAAGAAGCATATATAACTTCAAACTCACAAACTACCGAACAAATAAAGAAAGTAGATGTTTTCTCAAAGACTCGACATGAAGATGTATGGAGTCATTCGGGAACATGCAGAACAGGACAAATTGTTAGTGGTCCAATTACAGCAGGAAAATCATTTGATTTTAAGCTTCGTTTAAGAATTCCTGTTAGAAATTTTCCATTAGAAGCTATAAGATTTATTCCAGCTTTTGCAGGAAACATTCAGCTTAAAGTAAAGTTCAGTAGCGACGCCTTACAATGCACATCTATATCTGTAAATGATATCATTGCTTTCAATCCAACTCTTAAAGTTGCATTTGCTTCAGATTCAAATCCACCGACAAATAAATTTGTTCCATGGAATGAACCATTCACTATGATAACGAAGGCAGTAGAAGCTAGTGGAACAGTTACTATTACAACTGTAACCCAGCAACTATTTCGAACAAAGATGGATTTTAATGAATGTTTCATTCATCCAAAGTCATTCTCTTTAGACCCTAACATTTATACAGAACTTGTAGAACATTATACAAACGAGGCTTTATGTTTTCCTGTTAAAGTTATGGATTGGATTCCTATGGACGGTTCATTCTCAAAGAATACAGATAGTTCAAGTGCAACATTTACAGCAGCTTATACGCCTATTAATGTTAAAAGTATTTGGGCACTATTTAGAAAGAAAGACAACTATTATGTTAATTTTGAGAACCCTAAGTTTAAATATCTTCAGCTTTCCATGGGAGCTTATGGAAATATGCCTGCAGAACCTGAAAAATCATATGGACCTGTATTTTATGAAATGGTTGCGAACGCTTGCAATACAAACAATGATATGATAGGATTTAATGAAGATGTTATGAGGTCATTGGTGGATGATGGTAGTGTGGAACATAAATGGGATAGCTATGACAACACACATTTCTTATGTGGTTTTCCAACAGAAGTGGACTTTTGCTTCCAGCAAGGTCAAACATCTACTGCTCCAATAACATACAAATTGTCTGTTAAAGGACCTATTGAACTAGCAACTGAAAATGTACCAAAGCCACTTATTGGATTTATGAGGGATTGTTGCTTTGCCATTCAGTGCGTGCTAATGGAATCCCAATAATAAGATTAGATGACTATAACTTAGCTACGGACGACAGTGAGGAATAAAGGATGAACGTTTATTTTTAAAGCTTATAAATGAGTTCTTCATCAAGCTCTCGTGAACCTTCACCATCTATGAAACAAACTTTACCAAACGATTATGGAGCACCTATTGAATATTTCTTACGAGCTGCACAATGGCAAAGAGCAGTCTCACCAAGGTTAGGTGTTCCACCAGCTCCTGTCAAAAATAGCATTTGGTCAAGTCCTTATATAAAATATGGTCTCCCACTAGGTTTGCTAGCTACAGCAGGAGCAGTTATGATGTTGAAAAGAAATAAAGCAAATGTTGTAAATAATACTGAAGTAGCTGAAGTTAAACAAACTCCGACACCATCACAAACAACACCTTCAATGACTCCTGAACCTATGAAAGTACAAACTCCTGTTCAAAAGTCAACTCCTAAACCGACTCCAACATTTAAACCAGAACCTACTCCTCAAATAAAATCGTAAAACTCCTGCGTTCTCCTTACTGAAAAAATAACGTTATTTTTATTAATATTAAAATTTTTATTTGATTGAATGACGACTAAGTCACTGAAGCAATGAAACAAAAGTTTTTGGTAGAATACATTAAATCAGGAGCGGTTCCAGAAGGTTTTTTACGTTCATACTATGAAGGATGGTAGAGTTCAGTTTAGAAAGATAAAGCAACCATTAGATAGAGAAGGTATATTAAGGAAGATTAAACTTCATGAGGACAACATTGCTGAACTTAAGAAGAAGTTAGAAGAGTTGGAGAAAGGAAGAGAGTTATAAAGCAATAATTCAAGTGGGTGAAAAAACAGGCTGAAAAAAGAGGTGAAATCTCACCACTTCACCTAAATTTATTTTTGTGCTATGTTTTCATACGTGTGAGGGTGGTGATATCATTAATTTTAAGTTTATTTTTTATTTTATTTTTATATAAATGACGAAAACTATTGAGATAACAAACTACAACGGTCATGAGTTCAAGAATTTGTTCTTTCTTCTCGTGAAAATACATTCTATCAGATACGAGGGAGAAAGGGTAAAGTTAGTTTGAGCGTTTATGAAGGAATGAAGAATGGAAAGTTTATAAAGCATACGATACAAACGGTAAACGTGTTTCATTAGCTTTGTCAAAACTTACTAACATTCATTTTGACAGTGATTTTGACTCTGACGATTGGAGCGACAGCAGCGATACTGAAGAATATGAACTATTGTGTGAAGCACAGCAATGGGAAGAGTTGCAATACTTTTGTAAGTGAGAACGTTTATTTTTTACAGTAGTGAGGTGAAGTGGTTGGCGGCTTTATAAATATTTAAGGTTAAGTTGGTTTTTGCGTTCATGTTGTAAAATATACGTTAACGGTTTTGTAAAGTGTCAAATTCACAAGTATTGCGTACGGAGGAACGCAGTGCCTCTGTACACGAGACTTGTATACTAACTATCTCTTCTCTCGGTTTTCCGAGGGAAGCAATCATATGAGGAAATTCTTCTAAAAGTTCTTTTGTCTGTTGGTTTTCAAACCAATGATATGCTTGCTTTGTAGAACGAAGAGCGTTCATTATACTTTGCATTTGGTACATATCGTCTTTGACCGAACGAATGAGGCGAAGTTGTTTGTTATATTGTATGTATTCGTATTCTTCATTTATAGCTTCATGGACTATAACTGTTGTTGTGTTCTCTGATGTTGTCATTACTGTCTTTACATACAAAATAAAAATAAATAAAAATAAAAACTAACTTTATTTTCTGACTTTCACAAAAGACCAAAAATAAACGCTTTACATGTATTTTTCAGCAACTTCGTCAAATAATTTTATAGCTTTATCTATCTCATCTACTTCAAACGTTTTTTACCTTTCGTGGGAGCACCATACATTTTCTCAAAAACTTCAAAGCAGTTCTGTTTCTGCAGCTCTCATATTATTAACGAACACAACCTTGACTCTATTGACTGTACTGTCATATCTTTGAGTTATATTATATGTTCTTCCTATCTTATATCTCTTTTATTGAAGTCCTTCGGTTTCTGAACGATGTAAAGTAAGCCTTCACTGCAACGTTCCGTATCGAATGAACCATATGTTATGAAGTTATATCCAACAACTGGGTCTAACCATAACAAAACTATTGTATAAGACTTTTGTCTATAAGATATGCTCTTGTTCCATGAAATGCTACTGATATCATAAGCTCAGGATTTCTTGTCAAAATTTTCTGAGTTGAAGCATTTCTAACCAGTCGTTTGTTTTCTTTCCAGATGGAGATATAATGTCTGACAAAGAATATTTGTTGTATTTCTTTGAGTATCTTACGTTTAAATCACCTATTCTAATCACTTTGGTGTCATTGTCTATCTTTCTAACTGTTTCAAACTCAATGTTTGTCATTACTGTCTTTACATACAAAATAACTAATGAAATTCATTATTTTTGGTGTAAATTTATGAAAACATTAATGATATCATGACTGTTCTCATTCATGTCTGATTTACATCTAATGAAAAAGTTTAGAAGAATTTTCTTATTCTTTCTGGCTTATTTTTGTCTTTCCAGTACTCCCGCTCTAATGGTCCCAGATGTGTTGGCTTTGACTCTCTCAAGTTCTTAGATGGTATAACATCTTCAACGCCTCCTTCATATCTTACTTTATAAGTGTCATCGTTTATGTTATAGCCAAATATTTCAATAACCACTCCTCGCTTTGCTTCGTCAATGGTTTCAGCAAGTTTGCCATTACTACTTTCGACTAATTTGTGACGAGGGTAAAACGCAATAGAGTCGTCAGCAGCTTTTATAAGATATCCATTACCTTGCGTAGAGTCGTCTACATATAATAGTTTCTACTTAACCTTAAACGTTTCTTTGTCAACGGTTTGTCGTCAAGAACTACACGAACTTTTGTACAGGAATGAGGGTAAATTGTGTTGAATTTCTGATATTTTTGTGTTTGGCTTCGTTTCTTTTGTATATACTTTTCTTCTTGTTGTTGTGTCATTGAATTTGGTGTATGTCCTGTTGTAGAATGTGTTGAGGAATTATATACTTCGAGAAAATGTTTCATTGTTTCTTCGGTAAAGTCTCGCTCTTGGTTTAAATCTCTGAGCGTTCTTATGAAGCGGTTTATGATGCCGAGTATGTTATGGTTATGGTCTTCAGTAGTGTAGTGAGTTATGTTATGCTTAATGAGAAATTCTGTGATTTCATTGCTGAGGTATGCACTGTCTTGGTCTGATGTTAAAGTACTTGGGCTATGTTCTGCTACAAACTTTTGTAAAACTCTTAACACTTCACGAGTTCCTTTATTTTTCATTGGATATGCATATGCTTTACGAGTGTTAACATTAATGAAGATGAGGAATGGTTTATGTCCTCCTTTTCTGCTTTGAATGAGAGTGTCAAATTGGTATGCGTCAGGAGTGTTGGAGTAAATTGGTAAAAAGTAGTCGTAAGGGTTATTTTTGTTTGATGTACAACATTTTGTCAAAGAACCTTTTCACTTCAGCTCTGTTAGTAAATCCCCAACTCTTTGCAGCTTCATTGAACTTCTTAAATGACCTCCATGGATGTTGTTCGAATACTTCTTTCAAGCTCATTTATGTAAAGTTAAAGATTTTATTCAAGGCTCAAGCGCGTTCATTGAACGCGGTACCATGCGAATATAGTCACAAATGGTGGCATATAATCTGCACCCGAGCCTGTTGGATTTGTTGTGAAAGTGTGTGAATGATTTCCTGTGGTTCCACAGAAAATACCTGCGCTTGAATCTACTGGGTCACTTGAAATATCATATCTATTCATTCCCTGTCTATCCGAACCTGCTGCAAGATTTGTATAACCTCTTTTTGTTATTGAATGTGAATGACTACCTGTTGTGTTTGTAGTTCCTGTATGAGTGTGCGGTGGAAGGTTTGCTTCTTTAATTTTCTTCGAACTTCCTGTTTGCTTTGAAGGAAACAATAAGAATTACCAAAAAAGTGACAAAACATCAAAAACAGGGAGGGGGTCTCAATTTTTATTACTTATATTATTTTACAATATTTATATAAATACTCTTTATAATATATTTTACTATAAAATTATACCTCAAATTCAAATATTTAAAATATTATTTACATAATTATCTCAAAATTATATTTTTATATATTATTTTTCATATGTATAAATCATATAATCTATATCTATGCAAATCTCATCTAAATTTTTTTGAAACAAACCGCTACCATTTTATAATGGTCCATCTTAAATTCATCATAAATTCTGGTACACGTTAGTACCAGAGTCTTCAAATCTCAAACACTCTGGTACCAACATGTACCAGACGCGAGTTTCCAATGCCCTCGTACGATTTTCTATTAAGATCTTCTTGAATGAGAAGGTCTTCATAGAAACTCGTACGAGGGCTTCTCTTTTAAATACTCTGGTACCTGCTGGTATCGGAGTCGACTTTACAGCCCTTTCCCCAATTTTGAAGCTGGGGAAAGTTTTCAAGCAATGAAAGGGAAGCTCTCGCTATGAGGTGAAAATCTAGAATTTTTACCTCATAGCGAGTAATCCTTTGTTAATTGCTTGAAAACTTTCTTCAAATTATCAAAATTTCGAGGAAAGTTTCCTTGCTTCAAAGTAGAGATGGAGCCCTTTGAGCCACTGCATATAGGTCAGTGACTCAAAATACTCCATCTCTACTAGAAATCGCCAAAATTTGGGTCGCAATCTTTGAAATGCGACGCAAGTTTGGGCAATTTCGCGAGGGACTTGCTCCATTTGGTGCATAGATTCACACTCTATGCACCAGATGGAACAATTCTTTCGCTGACAGCGGGAAACTTTGTCTGAATAGTTTAACATTCAGACAAAGTTTCCCGCTGTCAGAGAGGGAATGGAAGGGTAAGAGGTATATATTCATAATGTATACCTCTTACTCTTCCATTCCCTCAAGAAAGTTCAAAAACTTGGGTGCAATCAGAACTGATTGCACCCAAGTTTTTGAACTTTATATAAGGAATTGTTGGCTATGATGTACTGATCATGAATCAGTACATCATAGCCAACAATTCCTTCGCAAACAGTGGGAAACTTTGTCTGAATAGTTTAACATTCAGACAAAGTTTCCCGCTGTCAGGGAGGGAATTAGAGGGTGGGAGATATATAGATAGACTATAAATCTCTCACCCTTTAATTCCCTCAAGAAAGTTCAAAAACTTGGGTGCAATCAGAACTGATTGCACCCAAGTTTTTGAATTTTGTATAAGGAATTTGGCTATGATGTGGATAGCCGCTGCCAGACCAAATGAATTAACCGTTGTGAATAACGTTTCTGAATCTTTATTTAAAAAGATAAAATATCACGATTTTGGCTGCGTTAAAAATCAAAGAATTGATGTTTTTGTCAAAAATCTTTTAGAAGAAGTTGCACCCAATTACTTTTATCGTATTAAAAACGATTTACTTCAAACAGGTTTTATTCCTTCAATTAGAATTCGCGAGCCTCGATTGACAGATTATAAAACAAAATTGAAAAGAGAAGTTCAATCACGTTTATACCAAGTATTAAATTTGTTCAGAATCAAGAAGCCAATTTGAATCCATTAAGATTTTTATTGGAAAATGCTGAAGAAAAACTTTCTCAAATAAATGAGAAGATACAAAATTCAATTACATATTTAAGATCGTTTGAAATTCCAAATGAATTGTTAGATACGTATATGTTAGAAATTAATGAATTTTGTTATAATTCTCCAGATTATATTTTAGAACATTTCGAAGAATTTTTAGAGGATTTCAAAGAAAAGAATAATTTAATAGACTAAAAAATTTATTATTTTTATTTATTGTGAATTTTAAATTGTCACTTTTTAAGTGTTACTCCCTATTGAAAGTGTCACTTTTTGGGTGTCACTTTTTCGGAAATTCTTATATACTCTTGTGTTTGTAGTTCCTGTATGAGTGTGCGGTGGAAGGTTTGCTTCTTTAATTTTCTTCGAACTTCCTGTTTGCTTTGAAGAGTTAGCACAGTATAAGAATTTATCTACAATCTGCTTCCACATACCAAAACCTAAAACTGTTTCTGGATTTGTTGAGTTCATTGACGTATAAATAGAGCCTATAGGATATAATGTTTGAAGTATTTCAGTCTTTAATGTTTGAAGCTCTGTTTTGTCAGCTTTCTTATCTAACATTGTTGGTAGTTCATATGCTTCAAAGTTTCTGGCATGATCTTCGATATTCCTGCAACTGTTATCTAAATTGTTAAGAGTATCTTTTACGCTTGTACTCGGATTCTCTAAAGGTGCACTTGAACCCAAATCATAGTTCAATATTATGTCGTCTGCTCTAACAGTAGTGAAGGATTTATGTGTATGTTCTTTGTCAGCTTTCTTATCTAACATTGCTGGTAGTTCATGTGTTTCAAAGTTTCTGACATGACCTTCGATATTCATACATTTGTTATTTAAGGAGTTTAGTGTATCTTTTACGCTTGTACTTGGATTCTCTAAAGGTGCACTTGAACCAAGGTCAAAGTTCAATATTATGTCGTCTGCTCTAACAGTAGTGAAGGATTCATGCGTATGGTTTTTATCTGCTTTGTTGTCTAAAGAGAGTGGGGGACAAACTCGCCCATTGTCACTTTTTCATTAACCTTAAACTTGTAATTTTCATTATTTTTAATTAACCTTATTTCTTTCCCAATTCCT